CAACCACTTTGGAAAGCAATATGGAAATTCTTCAAAAGACTCCACATAGAGCTCCCCTAAGACCCAGTAATTCCACTTTTGGGCATTTACCCAAATGATCACAAACAAGGTCATACTAAAGCTATCAGCACAATGTTTATTGCAGCATTATTCACCATAGATAAGATATGGATCCAACCCAGATGCCCCTCAGTAGATGAATGGATCAACAAAATGTGATATATGTATATATACATATATACACATACACACTATAGATAGATAGATAGATAGATATAGTGTGTGTATGTGTGTGTGTGTGTGTGTGTGTGTGTGTGTGTGTGTGTGTGTGTGTGTGTGTAATTCTATGCCTCCATTAGAAAGAATGATACCACCCCATTTGTTAGAAAATGGAAAGACTTGGAAAAAATTGTATTAAATGAAATAAGCCAGGACAAAGAAACATAGGTCCCATGGTTTCCATTATTTATAGTAACTAGTATATGTCTAGGACAAGCAGAAAAAGTCAAAAGCTATGTACATTTGACCATATAAGATGATGCTAAGCGAAATGAACCCCAAGATAGGGACACAAGAGGTTTTATCTTTGTTGCTGTTGTTTTAATGTATTTATAATGTACCATGTGATTATTTTTGTTTCTTTTGTATGTTTTCCCCCCACAGTATAACAACTGTTGTCACTGTATTTGATTCCTGTGCCCTGTATCTTGTATATACATTTTTCTAATTTGGGGAAGGGAAATAACAAAATGCTGAAATACAGGTTGACCCATTGTAACAATGAGATGTATAAGATGCTATATTAAAAATGAACTTTACAATTTCAGGGGAAAGGGAGTGAGGGATGGTAGGGGAAAAACAAAGGAGGAGGTAACAATGCTCGATAGGAAATGTACTAATTACCTTACTCACGTAACTGTAACCTTCTGTACAGTAGCTTTACAATAAAAAATATATACTAAAGAAAAAAAAAGGATTACAGGTATGAGCCAGCACCTGGTTAAACCATTTGTTATTTTAAAGGTTACAGTACAATCCAGTGACACTCACATGTATTGACACTATCTCCCTGTCATAATGCATTAAAACTGTATTGATAGCCTGTGGCATTAAAAATGTGGCTATTCAAAATGTCAAAACATTAAGACTTCTTTATTGTAATTACTTTTAAGATATATTAAAATACAAGATATAACTAGTTAGTATTTTAAATTCCTTAGTTCAGTGACAGAAAAAAATAAAACAAGCTTAATTTATACCTTACCATTCATGGAACTCTTATTTTTTGAATAATAAAATGTTATCAGTGACTGAATAAAAAACAAAGAAACAAAAATCTCAACAATGTTCTTCAATGATGCAGAGAAAGCAATCCAAAAATTCATAAGGAATAACAAAAGACCCCAAATAGCAAAAATAATCCCTAGCAGGAAGAACAGTGTTAGAGAAATATCAATACCAAACTTCAAACTCTACTACAAAGCCATAGTGATAAAAACAGCTTGGTATCCACACAAGAACAGGCCTGAGGACCAATGGAATACATTAGAAGACCCAGAAATGAACCCATAGACCTATAGCCACCTATAAGGGAGTCAAAAATACAGGATAGAAAAAAGACAGCCACTCCAACAAATGGTGCTGGCCCTGACTAAACTCAGGGCCTGGGCACTGTCCTTAAGCCGTTATACTCAAGGCTCATGCTTTTGAGCCACAGCTCCATTTCTAGCTATATATTGATTAATTGGAAGTAAGAGTGTCAATAGTCTTTGCTACCTAGGATATCTTTGAACTGGAATCTTCAGATCTCAGCCTCCTGAGTAGCTAAGATTACAGGTATGAGCCACCAGCACCCGCCAAATGACATCACTCATAGCAGACTTTGGAAATAAAAGCTCTTTTAAAAATATAAAATGTCATTAGGCCTTATAAAAATTGCATACGAATAATTAATCTCTACTAACTTGAGAAGAGGTTGTGACAGAAACAATTTATGTACAAATATTCAAAAGTCTATTCACTACAACTTGAGAAAATAATAGCTACAATTAATAAAATGGAGGCCATCCTGGGCAGGAATGTTTACTAGATTTCATCTCCAAACAATCAACAAAAAAGCCAGGCTGGCGATGTGGCTCATGTGGTACCGTGCCAGCCAAGAAAGGAAGCAGAGCATGTGCACAGGCAATGAGTTCAAACACTAGTTCAAGAGAGAGTAGAATCTTGTCCTCAGTCGTGTTTCAAGGATAGTCTTCTGAACTCATTAACTTAATTTCATCTGTGAGTACACCTCCATCACTTTTTCTTTACTTTTTCTTTTCTTTTTTTTTTTGGTCTGTCATGGGGCTTGAACTCTGGGCCTGGGTACTGTCCCTGAGCTCTTTAGCTCAAGGCAAGCGCTCTACCACTTGAGCCACAGCACCATTTCCTGTTTTGTGGTAGTTAATTGGAGATAAGAGTCTCACGGACTTTCCTGTCCTGGCTGGTTTTGAACTAGGATCCTCAGATCTCAGCCTCCTGAGTAGCTAGGATTACAGGTATGCACCATGCCAGGCTTACACCTCCATCTTTAATTCTCTTTTTGTCTGGAATTTTTAGTCTCTCTTTTCTGGCACTTTTGCTCAGCTCCAGTGTCCTAAATTATATTTTCCCCTTAAACTAAATTCTTCCTCAGGCTGCCATAATTCTCTTTTCTCCTTAACTCTGGAGATTCTAAAAATATACACACAATAGCTCATATCTCCATTCCCAATTCAATACTCCACCTACTGGGTTTCTAATCCCATTTCCTGACTCAGATGCTTCTTCATTCAATTGCCATCCAAAGACCTAGTAATTATGGAAGGTAATTGGTTCTTCTCATTTCTTCTGGTTCTCTACTCTGTGCTTAATGAGTTGTCTTATTTCTCCAATCCTCAACTCAGAAGAGCTGAATTTATTTCTTATGATCTACTATTACACTATCCACTCTTAATCCTTTATTACTTCTGTCTACAACTATTGATTTATTCACTCAGGGTCAAAATGCTAGCATTCTCTTTGATTCTCCTTTCCCATTGGCTGTCCTAACATGCACACTCATACCGGCGTGCACACACGCGCGCGCGCGCGTGCGCACACACACACACACACACACACACACACTGGCTCACATGTAAGGCTTGTATCTGGACCATCTTTATGCCACCACCACTTCCCCAATCTAGATCATCATCCTATTTAATCTGCTTTGTTTCTGTGAATTTTGACGTGAACTGCTTCCCTGTAGTCTCTTCATTGCACAATCATTTCACAATAGAGTAACTGTAGTCACAATGCAAGGAAAACAAGAATATGACCAGGCCAAAACCCAGCTCCAAACCTCAGTGCCTCTTGACTCCCATAGATGCAGTTTAAATCTTCTTTCCCTCTTACCATATTTTGCTCTGCCCATCTAGCAGAATGTCATTTTTCATGATTTTTCTATGCTTCACATTTTTTACATTATTTTACCTTGGTCTTGTAATTTCTTCTCCCTTTGGAAGAGAATCCTTTTCATCTTAAGTTTGCTCCTGTAGTACTTTGTAAATACTTAGAGGATACTTCATTAGAGTGACCTAAAATGCTAGACCTCCACAATATTACAGATTAGGAGAAAGAACAGATTTCTTAAAAGTGCTTTTATTTTTTTTAAAGTGCTTTTATTTTATTTTATTTTTGTCGGTAGTGGGGCTTGAACTTTGGGCCTGGGTGCTGTCCCTGTGCTCTTCAGCTCAAGGCGAGCATTCTACCTCCTGAGCCACAGTGCCACTTCCAGTTTTCTAGTGGTTTATTGGAGATCAGAGTCTCAAGGACATTCCTGCCGAGGCTGGCTTTGAACCATGATCCTCAGATCTCAGCCTCCTAAGTAGCTAGGGTTACAGGTGTGAGCCACCAGCACCCAGCAATAAGTGTTTTTATTGTAAGTGAGTAAATGTCTTGAGTTTCAAACCTGTAAAATTTGGGATAAGAATAACTTAAGCCAGGCACAGGTGGCTCATACCTGTAATCCTGGATACTCAGGAGACTGAGATCTGAAGACCTCAAGATTGAGGTTCAAAACCAGCCTGAGCAGTAAAAGTCTATACGACTCTTATGTCCAATTAGCCAGTAGAAGGATGGCTCAAGTAGTAGAGCACCAGTCTTCAGTGAAAAATGCTTAGAGTTTGAGGCCCTGATCAAGTCCCAGTACTGGCATGAACACACACACACACACACACACACACACACACACACACACACACACACACACACACACACACACACACAGAGAAAAGGGGGCAGACTTAGAAATAATGCCATTGAGACAGTTGTTTAAGGCTGAAGAAGATGGGCCATCAGTAACATAACTGGGAAAATCTAACTCCCAAGAACATCATATTTTGTGAGCAAGCAAGGTACAACACTATTTTTAGAACCCCATTTAGACTGACTGCTGTTAGGATACCAGACACAATACCTGATCATTAAGGACCCCATACTGCCCAATTCCTAAAGGATGGACTGCACCCCATGAGGAGTTTTGAAATGCTATCATTAGAAATGAGTGTAACCAGACAAATGTCTAAATACGGACAAGGAGAATAAAGAACAATTCTATACAGAAAGTTACCAAAAGTGACCATGCAGATCTTAGACAAGATTAAAGACCTACATAGAAGCTTCCTGAACATAGAATGTGCACCCCACAAAAGAAGGTAGTGATAGTATATGATGCACAAGCCTTGTTATCAATTGTAATTACTTTTCAATTTGTGCCATGTCTTAGATGATAATTCTAGTCTGCCTAATGTTTTTGGTGCTTGTTTCTAGTGATTTATGTTTAAAATTCAGTTTAATTTGGCCAAAATTTCTAAGATCTTTCAGTCTAATTTGCAAACCAGTGTCATCATCTGTACATACATCAACTGATCTATATCCAAAATGCTATCCAAGCTAGTATCTTAGGGATTTGCAAACTGAGTTTAAAGCTTTGTACTTACATATCACTGGCAATGGAGGAGTTCCGGGACATAGACTTTGGAGAGAGATCATAATCACTGTCAGATCGGTACAGGAAGGACTCCCGGCGTTGACTGTGGACAAAGTTTGCTTGGAGAATTAGCCCAGATCCTGGGCTGGTCATGGGATCCAAGGGACTCCGTCCCGAAGATGTGCCATTGTCCACATCGAAACTGCAAAGGAAAGAGAAGGAATTGGGTTAATATTTTATGGGGTTTTTTTGGCGGGGGGGCACAGTCGTGGGGCCTGAACTCTGGGCCTGGGCGCTGTCCCTCAGCTCTTCAGCTCAAGGCTAGCGCTCTACCACTTGAGCCACAGCGCCACTTCTGGCTTTTTTCTTTTTGCTTATGTGGTGCTGAGGAATCGAACCCAGGGCCTCAGGCATGCAAGGCAAGCATTGTACCACTGAGCCACCTTCCCAGCCCTGGGTTAATATTTTAGCAAATAGTGTTGGCTTGAGTTAAGAAATTAACACCAGGAAAATTTACAGTGGATAAAAGCTGATTAAAGAATGATAATATTAAAATACATAAAAATGAAAATCAGGAAGTGGACATGTGGCTCCAACCAGCCTTGAGTAGAAAAAGCTAAGGTTCAATGCCTAGGCCTTGTGTTTAAGCCCCAGTACTGGTACAATAAGTAAATAAATAAATAAAAGCAGGTCCATAGTAATGCACTCAACGTTTGACTTTGATTTAACATGTACCAATTATGGAACTATTGCCATTCCCAAACTTGGGCTTTTTTTTTCCTTTTTTACTACAATAATCCCATCGCTGATTTCTGTCATCGCCTCATCCTTCCCAAATTACCTTTAACTTCAATTTGGATTTTTATCAACTCTCACTAATATCATAATAGCCTTTGTGTTAGCCTTTTCAATCCATTTTTAAGCCTGCACTCGTGTATGATTTTCTTTAAGAGGCAAATCCAATCGAGACATTCTTCAGGGTAAACCCTCAGTCACTCAGTTTCCCTCAGGATAAAATCTAAACTTCTTGTCTAGACTAAAAAGTTTCAACCTCTTGCTATCAATTGCAAGAGTGGGGTGGGTAGCTCCCCAGCAGGCTTCAGCCAATCACTTCTTAATTTCACAACACTCCTAATTGTCACTCACCCTGGAGAACCCAGCCTTTCCTTAAAGGCTGTCTGGTCACCTCCAGGAAATGCCCCTCTCTTCTCCCTAAACAACTTCTCCATTCCTTCTGACCGAGCTAAGGAGAACTAAAGTGTTTCTCTCCTCCCCATTCCTAGACTGTGAGCTTTGAAAATGTAAACTCAAAATATTCTTAGCAATTCACAGGTCACTTCCAAATCTTGATTGGGGTTGAGAGTGTAGCACACTGGCAGAATGTGTGTCTGGTATGCAGCAGGCTCTGCATTCAACAAAACAGAAAATAGCCCTATGCTAAGAGGTTTGTAAGGAGTGATCAAATGCAGAAAAGACCAACACTTTGTTCAGCAACACATCTTTCAGAGTTGAGGGCAAAAAGGAACCATTTACAGTTTCTAATGTCTCAAACCTTGTAATCTAGATAAACTTTCCTGAAAGGGCTATTTTAATTCATCATCAACCAGAATGAAAACAAGATCAGTTCTCAAAAGTTTTGAAGCTTGAGATATAGTCCAGGAGAGGGGAGGGTATGTGTGTGTGTGTGTGTGTGTGTGTGTGTGTGTGTGTGTGTGTGTGAGTGTGTGTGTGTGTGTGTGTGTGTGTGTGTGTTAAACTGTTGAGTGAATAGACTAATGACTTCAAGTTCAATTGTCATTAGCATTTCCCCATTGTAAATTCTATCCAGAGTTGAGCATACAACCCAGTGAGGGCTCTTGCCTGCCATATGTGAGACCCTGGCTTCCATCTTCAACTCAAAATAATTGAATCTGATATGGTGGAGGACGTAAAGATGGAATATGATATTTGACTTGGATTGTGTGAAATATATAATGAATGATTTTAAGATATAAATGTAAGTGTGCTGTGGATAAGACTTCCCTGGTAACTTGTTACTTTAGCTAGTAACTGTAATTGTAACTCTGCAACTCCCTAACCCTGTCACTCTGTAACTCTGCTTCTGCTGTTTTCTGAGCAATGCTAGCCCTAACCCAGTGGAACAGTCACCACCCATTGTTCTATTCCCCTGCTTCCCACCAGCAAAACCTTGGTTAAGGTGCGCATTTCTTGTAACCATCATTGGCTAACACCAACACCCAGCCTCCTCCTTTCCCAGACCTAGCCCAAAATGCTTAAAAGCCAGTGTGGGCTGGCCCTCTGGGCCATTTCCTGGGATCCCAACTCCAGGTGTGGTCCTGTCGTGTCAGCACTTTTCGCTCAACTTAATCTTTTACATTTTCGTTACGGACCCAGTGGTCTCATTGCCCCTCCCCACTACAAATCCATCTATTAAACAGGCAATCTTTTAAACTCATTTATTTTCTTTCTGAGAGTTTCTAGTAATCAATATTATTTATGACCCAAAGATTTAGGTCAAAGTGAAAGAATATGCTAGAGAGGTTATTTCATGATCAATCATGACTCTCCAACTAATGTGAAATACATCCATGATTGCATACCAGTGGCTCAAGCATGCCTACAAATCTAGCTACCCAGTTGCCTGAGATCTGAGGATGATAGTTCTAAGCCTACCTGAGCAGGAAAGTTTGTGAGATTCCTCTCTTCAATTAAGCATCAAAAAGCTTGAAGTGGAGCTGTAGCTCAACTGGTAGAACACCAGCTTTGAGTGAAAATGCTAAGGGAATAGCCTAAACCCTTGAGCTCAAGTCCCAGTACCAACACACACACACACACACACACACACACACACACACACACACACACACACACACATATTCAAAAGTAGAAAGAAATCTGATTCATGGCATAAAGAAAGGGGTCTTGAATCATTAAGTAGGATATTAAGGGATGCCAGTCAAGCTCTTCTTCAGTATATGTAATTAAATAAACATTCATTAAATGCCTATTAGGTATACACTAAGGCACTGCTATAATGTTAAGTTAGGGTGTTGTATCTGACAGTTTTCATAAAGGAGTATATTTTTAAAGGGCTTTTGAAGGTATCAGACATACAGATGGAAAACAGACTTCTCAGTAGAGGGATGATAGTAGTGAATTTCTTTTCTGAGATGGTAGACATGACAGCTCTTTGGCAAGAGGACCTTAGTGTATGAACTCATAAAAAAAAAAAAAACTGCGTATGTTGATTTCGCCTTAATAGTGAGACATTTTTTTCTGTTAAAAATAATGAGAAAATAATCTTCTTGTTCTTCATGAACAGAAATGCTGTAGTAGTATGATTCTTGGTCTAATTCTTTTTTTCTGTTCAGGTAAGTAATAACTAAGAAAATATGAAATAAAAATCAGTGATTTATAATGTTTTAAATCTGAATACTATTTTTATTGTAATCAGGTGTTAGCTTACAGAAACATTTCACTATAAGTTTCTAAAATTTATTGCTAACCATCTTAAAACAATTAACATTTTGTACCATAACATCACCTATAAAAATAAAAACATTTATCCGTAGGTCAGAAGATGACTGGAGATGGTCAAAGATTTATTTTTCTTTGAAGACTGTAACATAAGAATTTGTCCACTAGATGGAGATAATTTTCTTGGATAACAAAATTCATTTCAAATAAACTTTGAAGGTCTGACTTTCTACTTAAACACTCAAGAAAATAACTTCTTAAATATCATTTAAAAAGCACAACCTTATAATACATAGAAATAAATTGCTAATAACGATGCCTCCTGAGTAGCTTGCATTTAAAACTACATAATAGGTGTTAAACTCAAGCTATCTGATTCTAGAGACTGAGAACAGATACTGTGTTTATGTCCCTGTTACAAAGTTTGCTATTGACCAGTAAAAATACAAGCAAACCATTCAGCTTCTTTGCCTGGATCAAACCTCAAGTGTTAACTCTTTCAAAATGGCATTCCAATTAACATATGGTTACACAGGCCACAGCTAATTCTGAGACCAGGCTTTTTATGTGACACAATATTGTGGAATGTGCTAAATGAGTTTCTTTACAGAGTGTGAAATTTCATTTGAAATTAAAGGAAGGTCAGTGGGTTTGGGAAAGGTCTTAGTAACAGGAACTAAGTAAGATCCTCTGTTGTCCTACATGTTTGCTTCCTTTAATGTCATTCAGACAGGCACATACTCTTTATAGGAGCTGGCTTTTTCTTTTTCTTTTTGTCATTCATGGGGCTTGAACTCAGGGCCTGGTCCCAGTCCCTGAGCTCTTTTGCTCAGGGTTAGTGCTCTCCTACTTTGAGGGATAAGAATCTCATGGGCTTTCCTGCCTGGGCTGGCTTTGAACTATATCCTCAGATCTCAGCCTCCTAAGAAGGTAAGATTAGAGGCAAGAGCCATAACTACCCAGCCCTAGGAACTGGCTTTTACCAAAAGGCAATGGTAGAGAAGTAATGAAGCAGCTGCATTGGCCCTGGTCCCCTGTGAGGGGGCAGTAGGAGTCAGAAGCAGCTAGCCTGTAGGAATCGGAGCTCCTAAAGGCTGTGTGTATCTGCCAGTCTTTTTCTATAAACCATCCCTCCCCCGACACAGAAAAAAAAAAAAAAGCAACCAACAAAACGTGCCTACCCTCAGCACACTTCAATTTCACTGTACTTACTGGATGATAATAATGATATAACTCTCTCCATCCAGACCAACTGTTCCCAGTGGGTTTACTAATCTTACTGTTACCTGTCTCATCCTTTTGGCCTGATGTTAGCTTCTCTTTTCTCTAGTTTAAACATTTTACTCTCTTTTTTTCTGTGTCATGTAGTCTCTTCCTTGAATCTGGATACTCTAGTAAACAGCTCTCTTTTTCTATTCTAACTTCAGAACCTTAGCCTCCACACTGAAGGACAGGATGGAATCTCCTTTAAGGGAGGAGTACAGTGGAGTATCTGGAGATAGGGAAATTAGACTGTTTTGTTGTTGTTGTTTTTTTTTTTTTTTGGGTCCGGTCATGGGGCCTGAACTCTGGGCCTGGGCGCTGTCCCTCAGCTCTTCAGCTCAAGGCTAGCACTCTACCACTTGAGCCACAGCGCCACTTCCGGCTTTTTTCTTATGTGGTGCTGAGGAATCGAACCCAGGGCCTCGAGCATGCAAGGCAAGTGCTCTACCACCGAGCCACCTT